GGACATACGCTCCATGGGATCCAGTGGGTGGGGATCCCATGGGGCTGCAGCGGGTGGATCCGGGGTCCCAGTGGATCCCAGCCAGATGGGACATACGCTCCATGGGATCCAGTGGGTGGGGATCCCGTGGGGCTGCAGCGGGTGGATCCCAGGGTCCCAGTGGATCCCCGTCAGATGGGACAGCAGACCGGTGGGATCCAGTGGGTGGGGATCCCATGGGGCTGCCGCGGGTGGATCCCGGGGTCCCAGTGGATCGCCAGCCCCCGCCCCGTGGGGTGTCTCTTACCCTGGCTGCCGCTGCAGGGGGCTCAGCGCTGCTGCTGCGGGTCCCAGTAATCCTCAGCCATGGCCGCCGGCTCGGCCGCCCGGGGCTCGGCTCCCCTCAGCCGCCCATGGTCCCCCAGAGCCCGGCGAGAAAGGGGGATCGGGGGGGGGGGGGTGCGTACAAGTCTCCTCCCAGCGAGCGGCGCCTCCCCCTCCGCCCAGGCCACCTCCCACCCTGCGACTGGCTAGCGCCAGCCCCCGGCCCGGCCTTCCCCCCCGCGGGACGTACCACTCCGCGCACCAGGGGAGGGCCACACACAGGGAGCAGCTAGGGACAAGCCGAGCTCATCCCCGACGGTGGGGGAATTAGCGATTAGCAACCCACTATCCACTAGGGGCTGGTGGTAAACTAAGGGGGCAAAAAAGGCAGAAGAGGGCAATAACCCCCCCTTCTTTTTATTTGGTACAGTCCCAACTGGAACAGCCCGGGTGGGCGCTACCATTACTGAGAGGGAGGAGCACCCTGAAAGCGGAGCTCTAATCCCCCTGCTTCACGGGTCCCGCGGGGAGAGATCAATAATATATGAAGGGATATTATGACGCATTAATTAAATAAGAAGTCTGCTGGAGGGAGCCCAGTAGCCAATTGAAACTAACCCTCCCCGTTTTTGCAATGGTACTTTCTTAACCGTCTTCTCTTTCCTCAATGGAAAGGTCCCCAACCGCCTCCTTTTCCTATGGGGGCTGTACCATTATAACCAGCAGCGGGGGGAGGCAACGGCAGACTTTTTCTACCTGGCAGCCAAACAGACCCACGGTTTCATTTTCTTTGTGCATCTCTAGACTATTGAAGCACAGAGAGAAGGTGGAAAGGCGAATAAGCCACGTATTGGCCGGCTCTTCCCCCCCCCCAATCTAGAGTGAGCTCGCCCGACCTCTTCTCTCGTAGCTGAGAGAATGAGCAATACCATTAAAAATAGGGGTGTTCACATATATAAAGGAACTGGGCCATAGAAACAAAGGGAATTTAAACCAGGGTATGTAACTCAACTAACCACACGAGGTAATTACGGGTCTGAGAGGGAGTTAAAAGGGCTGAGGAGGAGCGGGGAGTCTCCTTTCTCCCCTCCTACCCGGGGAAGATAATGGTTTGACCCATTGCGAGGCGCCGAGAATGGTTGGGCGCTACCACAGAGTAAAGCGGGCGGGGGGATATTTATATATCTGGACTCCAACATTTATAAACGATAAAAAACCAATGTATAACATTTTCAGAACCCTGATTAAATACTAACACGTGAACAAAGGGGTTTGGGTGAGAGGGGCCGTAAAACATGGTCACTCATAGAGGTTGATAATGGTTTAATCTGCAGACAGGACTGCGCGAACGTTGGCCACTACCATAAATAAAAATGGGGGGAGCAGCTTAGAAAATAGGCTTCTACCAACATAAATAGAATAAAGGTGGCTCAGACGGGATTTATGTCAATTTTCAGGCGCCCATGTGACACCAGGACGAGGGAGAGAGACGGGGTGAGAAGAGGGGGAGCGGACCCCCCTTGGAGGGTAATAATGGTGTAGCCCACAGGCAGGCCCCCCCTCCCCCGCTATCGTTGGACCCTACCATTAACCGCAATGGCGGGGTTCCATAAAAACGAGGAAAAGGGGGATTAGAGAGATGGACTATCCCCCCATTAGCCCCAAACGCCCCTCCCCCCACCCCGTCAGACAGGACACCCCTGCCCCATCCCCCAGCCCAT